CAGCCGCCACACGTGCTCTTCTCGCGTCTGGCGGTGAGACAGCTATTGTAAAATTAGCGTCGGGGCACAATGCCGGCGTCGCGGCGTCTGGGGTCGCGCAGCCACGACCCCCGTGGTCTAAATCCGGCATCCGTGAAGTCATCCTGAACACGAAGGAGAGAGAGAGAGAGAGAGAGAGAGAGAGAGAGAGAGAGAGAAGAGGGGAGAAAGGGAGGAGCGGGAGAAAGGAAGAGGCGAGGAGAACTCCGAATTGATTCTGTTAGACGGTCTGTTCTCTCCCTCTCTTTTGTCGCGAGTCTGCCGCAAGTTTCGTGGAAAGTCGCGACCGAGATAGGGCGCTTTTACGCGGCGCGTGGCATCCTCTTCATCCCGGCGCGTGGATGTGTGAAGGGAACGATCCTATTCCTGCGGAAGGTGCAATTGGCGTTCTGCGAAAATGATGGGACACAGTGTGGAGTCGAAAGAATACATTTTAAAATTTTCTTGTTATCGTCATAGTATAATTTATATTTAAAAAGTCTTTAAATGCAGAATGATGGATAATTTTATTAATTTTAAGTTCTCGATTAAAAGAGACACGAATGATTTTTTTCGAATTATAAGCAATTGGAAAGAAAAATTAAAATTAAAAAATGAGAGAAAGAAACTTGAAATATTTTTTCAACACTTTCAGAAAAATCATTTAGTAATAATTATAAATAGAAGAAAGAGACTAAGAGAAGAGAGAAAGAGAGAGAGAGGGGGGGGGAGAGAGATTTGTTAAGCGTTCTAAAAAAGTATCCTTTCAATCATTAAAATTGAATACAATTAATAGAGCAAAACTTGTACAAGAAATCTAGTTATAAAAAAAGAAAACGCAAATATTGAAAAAGTTAAAGTGGACAAAAAATAAGTGTATGAAACATAAAAATATTTAAAAATGTACGTGTATTCATATATAAACGAGGAAAGGGAGAAAAAGAGAGAAGAGGGGAGAGAGAGAGAGAGAGAGAGAGAGAGAGAGATTGACTTCGAAATTTCTGCTCCAGACAAATGGATAAACATCATTTAACAATATTTCGCGACACGTGACATAGGAAGTGTTCATGTCTTCTGTGTAGCACGAATGAAGATATCTGAGGCACGAGGAAGTAGCATCTATTAATGCTTGCTGCGCTCGAAATTCAACAGAAGTACTTTACTTCATTCTTAGGAAAAAGTGTCCAACACGATGTGAACACTCATAAATAATCATATATATATATATATATATAATCTAAATTATAACTAAATATTATAATATGAAATTTTACAATTGTTTTGTAACAAAAATCATTTCCCTTGATCATTCATTGTTCTCTTCAAATTTCTATCTTGGTTCAAGAATTTTACACTTTACCGCAATATTCTGTATGTATAAATCACAAAAAAAAACAAACATCTTTTGCGTGAGTATCATTCAAGGATCTTCAACAGTGCGAACATACCAAATCGAATTGAAAACATCACTTCAATGCGTCTTTAACAGTGCGTCCTCAGTTTGCAAGGACTTTTCTTGTAAGTCAGACATATAAATATCTGTTCTTTGCAAAATTGTGAAGTCGAGAGAGAAGCGTGTAAATCTGTACTTCGACTTCAGTCGGAGTTTCGCGGAAGCCATCCGATAGAAGGACTTTATGACGCGTGGCGTCGCGACGGATCGGGCCATTAGACACCGGGTGCATATTGTGAGGGCGTAAAGGAGCACGTGGACAATAACGGAGCGACCAAATTTTATCGTCCGTTTCCATCGTGTATGCAACAGTCAGCGCGGCACGGCGGCGCGCAGTCTCCGTTTTCTCTTATCGTCGGGAAACTTGAAGCAGCTACCTGGCCATATAAGATATATGGTATGCCTACTTTGATGAATACGAGATTATGTAAAACGTAATAAATTAAAATAAGCGAAAACAAATTAAACTAGTCTAACAAGTTATATTCATTCCTTTATTCTTCAATCAATTTTCTATCTATATTGCATCATCCATGTCATTTATCAGTTATAATTAAAGTAGTTATTATAAATTATTCTCTCTTTTAATAGTAATTGTATAATAATTGCGAATTTATCGTAGAAAGTAACTATAATCTCATTTAAAAAAAAAATTAAAGTTTTGTTGCAAAAGTTACTTTCGATGGAAATAGCAATTGACAGCGTGACTTTTGCAACGCCAAAGGCCTTTCATATGCGTCGACATAACATCTTGCCGTATTCACTACACAAGACGAATAAGAACAGAATTACGTACGATTGTCCACTCGTGGTTGACAAAACGCGGCACGGGGTGCGTGACATTCTTGTAAACGTTCGTAGTTCCAAGTTGCGCGTATCGAGCAAACAATTTACGCACGCACAAACTGCAGTTGCTTAAATATTTCCCGCCGATTGAAGGTATACGCACGCAGCATGCATGGTTGTAATTGCGCGCGCTAATTTTACTATATTAGAATTTATTTAGAAATGCGATTGCTGCACTGGATCTTATTGCAAATGTCTAATCATTGCAAAGCAATTCAAAATGTTCTCAATTTTAAACGTTGACATTTCTAATTATCGATTGATAATTTGAATGTATCTTAATCCTTAATACATACTTGTACAAGTACTTTGTAAATTTTTTTTCTTTAAAATACTAGGAGCATTTGATTAAATAATGATCTCTATCTTTTCCTTTTTTAATATAACTTGATAAGTGAAGGAATTAAAATGTTATGTGAGAGTGTCAATAATTTTTATATACTTGTAAAAGTAATAAAAATTAATCGTTATACGAACATCATATGTAAATATAAAGGACTGAAATGGAATTATAAAGGTTAATTAAATCAGCGGAATAATAAATTATAAATAATGTACAAATAAAATAAATTGCAAAAATGCGGAATACGAAATAGTTCTTTAGTAAAAAATTGGAATAAAAAAATTATTTTTGTCATATTTAACCCTTAACATTTTACATAATACATAAAGTGTCAATAAAGCGAATTTTAAATTAAGAAACGAAAGAGCGCAAAAAAGTCAATGAATCGTTTTTAAAGTAATATTAAAAAATTTCAGCGATAAGAAATTAATTCCAAGTTAGTTTTTTTTCACAATTTTGATAAACTTGATCCTTCCAGAAAAAAAGAAATATAAAAGGTTTATAATGATATACATATATACATATAATCAGATCTTATAATAGAGTTCACGTCGTATTCAAACTAACAATCGCTCGAGCATTTTTGCGGTTATAATTGCATCAGTGCGGTATCATAATTATCCGGACTAAACCAGTGGTCCTTCTCGGATAATTAGACGGTGGCGAACGAGGTACCGACACCGCGGCCAATTCAACATACTGCGGTATCAGAATTTCTCGTCGCCGTGGGTCTAAATCTCCCATCAGACGATGTCACGGGAGAAGAAGCTTTTACGTATATACTACAGCAATAATTTACTGAATACTTACTGAGACACATTACCGGGCCTGATAGTCGCCGGTATCTGATATTCGGGGTGCAGCACGCCGGTTCGGTTGAACTCCTGGACGCGGGTCGGTCTGTCGGCGCCGAATGGTCTCGGGCTGCCGATCGTCCGATAAAATTGTTGCTGCTGTTGCGGCTGTGTACGCTGCTGCAACTGCTGCAGTTGCTGCCTGGCGCAGAACGGGCAACCGGCGCAACTGCGTGCGATCGACGCGAGTATCATCAAGACACCGATCGTGATGCACGACATGATGATCGCGTCAAGAGATGGTCCCCCGGTCTCTCTTGTGAATAATGAAGACGATGACGGCGACGACGACGTCCGTCGTTCAGTGGCGAAGGAGTTCGACTGTGCCGAACGAGCGAGCGAACTGCCGTCGCCGCCACCGCCGCCACCGCCGCTGCCGCCGCCGTCTAGGAAACCACGCCGGCAGCCGACGAAACGAAGTAACCCCTCTCGGTTCTTAATCGGACTCCCGCGTTCGCCACCAGTGTTCTGATAGAAACCCCTCTTTCTCCCTGCCCCTCATCTTTCTCGCCGATCCGATGATCTCGCGTAGTAAGCCTGTTAACCCTTACGTTCTTACCTGACCCGATCCGCAATTTTACGAGAAATGTTAATGAAAACAATGCATCTTCTATTATTAATATGTAGTGCCTTCGCACAATATGAACAAATTTATCTCGTTCTATCTTGATTATCTGGAATACGACACTATCTTGCAATATTCTCTTTCATTGCAATGTGTTTATAATAGTTTTACTATAATAACTTTATTTGCTCTATATTTTTTATTTATATTTTTTCGTTCTTATATTATTTCTTATTTTTATTTAAGTACTTACTTAAATACTCTGCAAGCTCAATTGTATCAATCTCCTGTTCTTGATTTTTAAATCTACTGACTGCAAGAATTCAATTATTTAATCTTGGAACTTAAAAAAGAAACTTTTTATTAATCGTTATTATTTCAAATCATCTCTAAACGCAATTATGTGTATGTACATGTTTCCCTTGGCAATGGATTCAAATTATAAACGTTTCCCTGTTTCTCCTCAGCTTGATTTCTTTTCACATTTATCTTTTAATCTTCGCGAACGCATTACTTATCCAAGAGAATCCTTTCATCTTCTCTGTTTAATTTCTGTCTATGATTGTCTTTTAATCTTCATAAATACGTTGCTTCTCCAAGAGAGTAAGATTGATCGTAAATCTCGGGGTATACGATAATAACGCGATAACGATATCGAGATCGAGTTTGCGAAATTTGCACCTCCCACACACATCAGGCCAACATCTTCTCGATGAGAAAGAAGGTGATTGTCGGCTTCATACGGCAGTGGGTATCGGCTGGTTAAGGTAAAACAAGGTGGACTAGAGGGGAGCCGGCGCGGCGCGGCGCGGCGCGGTGAGAGGAGCCTTCCTGTATCAACGGGGCGCGAGGAAAGAAGGAGCCGATATGACGCGAAGAGATCGTGCATAGAGGGAAGTTATATACGGTACGGCGCGCTGTATCATGGACCAACCATGGGACGATGATGACAGCAGGTCTGGCGAGTGGCAGGCCAATAAATCATGGCCTGCGGTGTGGGAACCTCTGCCTACATGCTACATGCGTATGGGCGTACGCCATCGGTAAAACCTTTACTCCCGTGCAGGGTAGACCCGATCGCGCGGTGTGCCGACCTGGCGCTGCGTGTATACGTATACGGGGCGACGTAACGCGCGCACACGCTCGCGCCCACCACGTGCTCGCTCTCGTACCGTACGTGCGTGCGTGTGTGTGTGTGTGTGGGTGTGTTCGTGCGGGGCATCGTTATGCACACATCGTGTTACATTGTTGCGCTGTGGAAGCCAATTCGCCGCGATGAGTGACGGTCCGACTTCATGAAGTTGGGCCTTTTTTGGCAGTCATTTTTGTGGGTCCGCCGCTTGGGCTCGGACCCGCGGGACGTCGCCGCGGCGGCGAAAAGGCGTGCGACGATGGCCGTTTCGTACTCAAACGGTTTGCTTCCATAAACAGAATTGCTTATCGACTTCAGAATGATAGTGAGAGAAGAGCTCTCTCTCTCTCTCTCTCTTTCTCTCATTTCTCGTAGGGTCGAGGGTTAATAGACTATCAGTGCTTGTTATTATGAGCTAATGAAACACTGTTTTCACAAGCTATTGATTATCATAAATTCTAGAATATTAGTTTGCAACCTAATCTTCCGTTACAATATAATAGTTTTGCAATAATAATAATTTTTATTCGAATCTATATATTTTTTAAATTTGAATTTTTTTTTATTTTTCATTAATATTTCATTTTTTTTTTTATTAACTGTTTTTTATTTTTATTTTATTAATTACTGTATGTAAATACTCAACTACAATTTATCAACAAACCGATGGCTTATTTTGAAAGTCTAAGATTATGTACTCCAATGTTGAGGATTTCTATGCACCTAGCAACATACGATTTTTGTATACCGTTGCCGACTTGGACGAAAGGGAGGCAATTGAACGCTCGTAAAGGGCCCAGATAGAGTCTGCGAAGCTGGCGCCCATATCCATCGACCGACTTCTCTCGGCCTGCGAGAAAGAGGAGGCGGGGCCCTCGCATAAATTTCCATTGAATGCGCGGCCCTATACTGGCCCGCAAGTCAATTCAGCGTCAAATAAAAAATACGTTTACGAGCAAAAATGTCGGGCATTACGTCAAATATACGGTTCTTATAAACGTTATTATTAAGTACTTTAGAATATGATGAATGTGTAAATTATATAGTATCTTCTGACTAGTTTGACAAATTCTTTCTCAATACCGTTGTCTTTTAGTTCATTAATATTACACATTATACGTTGATATTGCATATAAAACTAACTGAATAATTACATAGTAATCATCCATAAAATTGTGAAATTAATTTCTCTTGAACTCTCTTTATACTGTAATAAACTTGCAGAATAAAAGTTTAAGAGAATGACTTGCGCTTTATATGCCATAATCAGTAAGACTGAAACGAGCGCGAATTTTTCGATACATAGCTGCAGAAAAAATCAAAGACTACCCTGCAGGTCAGAAAACAGTGAAATGCGAGACTTCTAACCGTAAAACGAAGAACAAGGATCACTGTGGCTAATGCTGTCGTGCGAAATTTCTAAATTTAACACGTCTGAAACATCGCGCGTGTGTGTTTCCCAAGTTACAGCAAAAATTGACTAATCGATTGAGTTTAACGAAATATAATCTCTCATCTAAAAAAAAAAAGGATTGAATAAATATTATATAATTAATATAGTATGAGACATTGAAAAATTTTGTCAAGATATTAACTTATCAAAACTACCTTTTATCGCATATAAAAATTTTGTATATTTTACAATACTTGTGTATTAAATATATAGATATAATTTGTATTTAAATATATAAAAAATAAAATAATAATAATAAACATGTTATATAATTAGCCATTATATTTATAAAATATATTAAATACTTTTTAAAATTATTCATATGAAACTATAATTAATAAAATCTTGTAAAAAATATATTTCTCATTATTTTTTCATATAGATACTCTGTCTTGTTATACTTCTTGGCTCTTCAGAATAAAAGAGCTGAAAATGCGTTTATTGGATAGCTTGTACGAAAAATTTTCCCTCACCTCGAGGCTCATGTGTATTATTCGCTTCATCGCTCGATTGGAAGAGCCTCGAATGTCGGCTTCGATGATCCACCTGTTCATCGAGCCTAACTTGCTCGAATAGCTCACTCCTCTCCTTGATTCCCCCTGCTCTCGGCAGCGTGAAGACCTACCCCGCTTTAGGTGTTCCCTACATTGTAATACTGATTCTGACAGAAGACTCGCCGACACCTTCCAAGTGTTACACGTGTTCAGAGGTGTCGAGTGTCGCATTGACAACCTTAGGATCTTATTTAGAATACATCTGTATACGTGCATGTGCAGCGAATACGTTGGAGTATGAGAATTGAAGAACAGTGGAATGACTTTCTTGTTCAAATAAGGAATAAAAAATATTGGTTCAAAAGTGCATACAACTAAAAAAATGTTATACTCAAAAATTCAGTCTTATGTGTTATGCCTGTTTCTACCAATGTAGTTTAATTCTAATTTCGTTCAACTAACTTTTCATCTTTTACTAATTTTAAGAATCTTTTTCTAATTCTTCTATATTCATTTTTTTTAGTCATAATAATCTCAAAATTTAATTTGTTAATTTGTATCACTTTAAATCTTTAAAGGCAAAGATATAATATGTAATTTGCAACTTTTGCATGATTTTAAATATACAAGATATAACAATAAATTATATCTATATGTATATCTAAATGTTAATAGATGTAAGAAGAAGTAATAAAATAAAACGAGTAATTTCTTTTTCTGTTCAACTGCGTCAAAATCTCATACGGTTAGCTCTATTTAGTTTGTTACTAAATTAATCCAGCAATTATACAGTACATATCTTTTTTACTTCCTTCTTATTATTCCTAATAGAAATTTAAATTTCTCTTTTTTACCGCTGATTCTTTTTCGACGAGTGTTTCTGCAATACTTATTTTACGCTTTTTGTTAATTACTGCTACCGTGCGCATCGAACTGTTAAGAGCAACGTCTGTGTTATATACCGTGATAATTATTGTTTTTGTAGCTTCAAGACTTACAATAGTCAGTCTTTTAGAGAATGGTTCTTAGAGGATAGTTTGTAATAAAGATTTTCCTCTAATTCATTTCTCTAACTAAAAATAACATAGGAAACGTTTCATTGTTATGGAACATAATTGGAAAAGTATTAATTTATGTACGTGGATACATCTTTTAGACAGAAGAAGTCACAATAAGTAAATCCATAGATTTTATTTCGTAACAAGGAAATATGTAAAAACACTCCCACGCGATAAATTCGAGTGGGCGATTTGGCTTTTCTTCCCGACCGCGTGTGTGCAATCATTTTAATAATTTGTCGTCGCGACAAACCATGCGCGCACATTATTCGGATAATTAAACATTCAATTTAAACCTCGCGTAGAAATATATCCCTCGAGATTCTCGAGAGTGGCCTTGAATGCAACGCGTACGGACATGCGTACGTATGTGTATGTATATGTATATATATATATATATATATATACTATGTGGTATGTGTATGCATGTGTACACACACACACACACATATAGATACGCACAATACGTTACGGTTAATAATTAATTTCTCGTTGCGATCGATTTTACTTAAACGGCAAGCCAGATACGGTATGTTTGCCCTCTGCAGGCGCATTTGTCGTATATTACCGTACGGCATGCACGTATTTATAGGTATCTTTAAAATAGTTCGAGAGCAAAGTGTTGCAAAGACTGTAGAAATTCGAGCGAATACACGCGCGCGTGATATGTCACATCGCCCTCTCCCCCGCCCCCTCCACCCCTCTTCAGCCCGTCCGTTTTCTGCAAGGACTACATTCTATTGTTTCACTGCAAATATTGAA